TGCGCTGCTAATGATATTATACTTTTGTTTACAATTCTGCAGATATTGGCCTTCACCTAATGCAGAGCGGCGCGGTAACTCCGGATTAAACACTCTTGTGATGTGTCTTCCATTGTGTCTTTCAAGGACGGAAGAGGATGTGGCTTGCAGAGCAACCTTCGAGGCATGAAGGATCAGCACCTTTTTGACTTCGGGGAGCTTTGAAGAAAAAAAAAATTGGCATGAGAACCTTCAGTTTCATGGACTCACTTATTCCTTTCTTCTAGTCATTAAAGCTTGTGATACTAAACAATGCATATTGTAATATCCAAATTTAATGTAATACCTCGGTTCTCTTGGCTTTACTATTTCATCACTCAGTAGAACTCTTTTCTTGTAATAAATTTTAACATTATTTTGAGTGAACCAGGCATTGAGCAATATTACCGTAAAAAGCCTGCGTGTCGTTTGCGTTTTAACCTTCAAATTCATTTTATATGACACATTGCTATTAACAGGCTTTGCTATTAGTTTGACTTCTAAAACACCCCGTGGCTAGCACCATTTAACATTGGACACAAGGCTTGTGTCTTTAGTCTTAAAAATGATGAAACATATTTTGACATTCTCATACGTAGCCCATAGGAAGGGTCAAAGTGCCTCCTACACAACCTAAAACCTTACTGGCAAAACTTGAAGTATAACCGGACATCCTGAGATATTATATGAAAAATAGGCTTAGGAATTGTTTCCAAAATATGTTTTGAAATTTGCAATTTAAATCTAAGTTTGTCACAAACTGATTTAGAATTCAATTATAACCCGACACTTGTAATCAAACCGCGCTTGAGGGGAAATCGACCATGTCTAGCAGCAACATGTGAAGTATCTTGTATTAAGTGCATATCGTAGCTAGTAACTTGTACAAGCAACTCGTAGTGAGGTTTAAACAGCCTTTAAAGAATTTTGTAACCTAATTGAAATAGGGTTTAATTTTCTTGAAAACCAACAGTCATGTTGCGAGGTAGATCCAATCATGTATTTGACGTCATTGTCCCTATCATATATGTCTGATCGTGAGAACGAGGGCACACACGAGTTTGGGTACAAGGGGCTGGAGGCGCGCTCCTCCCACAATAGTTCAGCATAAATTGCCATGGATTATCACCACAATGAGTATACGCAAAGTCTTTATAACGAAACCTTATAGAGTCATGGCCAGAAGTCATGTGGCAGTAGGACATTTATTAAATACCAAAGTAGGACAAATTTGGGGTATGACAATATGCCTACCATAACATTAGTTCTCATGTTTTTGCATTTCCTATGTGGCTCTTCCAAGAAAATTGTTTAGCTTAGCCCCCATGACCCATTATTCAGTAACTTGATTTGAGACCCATGCATTTGCTATAGTTTTTTTTTCCTTTTTTATCCACAGATTTCACAACAAATTTCATCTTATCAACTTTCTCCTTCATAATATCTTTCACAACTTCAATGTTAAATTTATTATCATCTGTAGTATCAACAACTTCTTCATTGATGTAATGTATAACAAGTTTCTCATTTTTAGTTTTCATAGCAGGGATATTACCGGAATGACATTTCTTAGCACCCTTCTTTCTCTTAACTGAACATAAACCAATCTCAAACACCATACCCCAAATGATCTTGATAGCAGTTTAGTTGCTAAAATTCAAAATATACATGTCAGATCATCAATGTAATTTGAATACCATATTACAATTCCAAAAAATATATAATTTTTACAGACCAGATTTTTAATCAACATATATAATCAGAATTTATAATCTCTACAATCAACATCTATAATTAGCATGAATAATATCTACAACTTCTTAAAAGTTTTACATCAATTACCAGCATCTATAATCACATTCCATAATCAACATCAATTGATAACATCTATAAGCTCTACAAATTTAAATAAGTATTACTCTATTTAAGATGTAATCAAATGATTTATAGAGTAAAAAAGCCGAAACTCTAAATTCGAAAGTTTAATTACAAATTGGGATATAGAATTGATCAGATGTTGTAAAAACATATTCCTCTTTTCGGTAATCAACAATTTGTTATGCATACAAAATCAATATTAGATGCTTAAAAAGCATTAGAGTAGAAGAACAAAATAAAAAAAAACATCAGGTTCGCACATCATTCTTGACCCATTATCATCCTAAATTGTAACGAGTAAAAAATAGAACAATATGTGGTCATGCTTCATAATGCATAACAATATCAATTTCAAATGTGTTATAAAGCATTATAATAGAAGATAAACCAGAAAACAACATTGTTTCCATACCTCATGCTTCCACCATTATCATCGGAAATGTAGCTATCGCAATGCGCGCACATATCATTTGCAAACATGTTTCAAATCCTAAATTTTGGCTGCAAAAAGATGGAATATAGGATATTGTATTGATGTTGGGAATATATAAGAATAAATACAATAAAGAAACCCTATTATTTGTTTTTTTATTAAAAGTGTGTGCGCGCTTGTGTGCGTGTGTGCGTGTGTCTGTTTGTGTGTGCTTGGGCGTGCACACGTGTGTGTGTGTGTATGTTTGTTTATGTGTGTGTGTGTTTGTGTGTGTGTGTGTGTGTGTGTGTGTGTGTGTGAGAGAGAGAGAGAGAGAGAGAGAGAGAGAGAGAGAGAGAAATAGAGAGAGAGAGAGAGAGAGAGAGAGAGAGTTTGTGTGTGTGTGTGTGATAGACATAGTACATCAAGGCTTACTCTTGACATTTTAGATTTTGAATGATCACTCTAAGATGAGAAGCACTAAATTAGGAGATCCTTTCACACTTTCATAATTTTAGATCTTCAAGCTCCCTTGCTTGATACAACAATGACATAGAACTTCAATTGGGACTTGATTCTTCTGATTGATGATGATTTATTTATCTTGTTAATTTGATGCCATCATGAAATGCTTCAGTTTAACTGTTGAAATAGACTCCTCTATCACAGAGAACTCTTAACATCCACAAGTTGTTTAACTTATGTTTTTCTTCAAAGTTGTTGTCATCAACAAAACCAATTGATGGTTATACTTCAAAGCACATATATCCATAAAGAAAACAATATCTAATATGGATTCTTTACCCAACTCTTGATGCTTAAATATAGGTTTAAAAATTGATGTTAGATGTTATAAAAATATAATTTATGAGTTAAATTTTATGTTATCAATGTTTTAAAATGAATGGTATATCATTATTATGATGTTTTCATGTTGAGATACAAGTGTGAGTTGTGTTGAGAAACAGGTGTGAGTTTTAAGTCTCATATTTCATAGAAAAGTGGAGGTTGAGCACTTTATAAGTGAGAGAACCAATACACCTATCACCTTAAGGTTTTAGATGAATATGTGGCGTCTCTCTCACTTGTTTAGGTGAGTATTTGATCCAATGTGAATGCTTCCCCCTCATGATGAACCATAAGTTTGTCCATGGATATGAAGCCACCTATATGAATTGACCTAACTTTACCAGAAACCCAATTTTGCTTATTCCTGGTAGCTTTTACCTTATACTCTGGTGCTTCCCATTTATTTTTGAGCTCTTTCCAAGAGCCGTCTCCCATCTAGGGGGAAATTTTTTCTCTTTTCTTTCCTCCATTATATTATTAGAGAGATGCTTTGAGCCATTTCTCTTGTGGATAATTTTGAGCTCAAACTCATTATCTGACCACGAAACAACTTTTTTCTGCAATATTTTTATAATAAACAATTTAAGAAGCAACACAAAGCCTAAAAAGTCATTGTGTCATCTTAATCTTTCCAAATTTACACTTAATCTAAAAGTGCATTAACCAATTACAATCAATCGAACTATTAAAGATAAGGAAAATTCTAAGGTGTAGTCATTAAAATGACTTCTTTAAAGAAGTCACATTCTGGCCAATCAGAAATGTGCCCTAAAACCCTAGAATGCCACGTAGGATTATATCATACATGCAACTTACTATGTAACCTCATAGTAATGAATATTTCAATTAAGTCCCTAACATATTAAAAGTGAAACAATTACCCCAATCGTTATATTGATTTAAAATTTTAATCTGAGCTTATTATGAAAATCAATTAAGACAATAAGTTTTGTTCATCTTCTTCATATTTCTCATTTCATTAACATCATTGCTCTTCTTCATCAGTCTCATTTCGTCTTCTATTTGTGAAGAAACTGTAGTTATTCATCGTGCCCATTCTTTAACCCTAACACTATAGACGAACAACAACATAACATTCATCATGTTCATCCGCCATTGTTGAATTCTTCTTCGTCGGTCTCATTTCGTCCGACATTTTTGAAGAAGTTGAACTTATTCATCGTGCTCATTTTGAATCCTAACACTGCTGACGAACATCAACATAACATTAATCATGTTCGTCTGCCATTTTTGAACAAGTTAAGGTTTGTTATTCTTTTAAAGTTCCCCCATTCAATTGCTCATCAAACATAACAGACCAAAAATATGCTTGTGTTTGTATTGACAACATTGTTACTAAGGTATAACCGAAAATGTTTGTTATATTTATTTGAAATTAATATTAAGATTTATTGGTTTCAAATAAAGTATCATTGGGGATGTTTAATTCGATTTCAATGTGGGAGCATGGGTACCTTTGATTTAATTTAGAAATTAGGTATTGCGATTGATATTGAGTTTTGTTGTGTTAAAATTGTGTTAATTTTATATTAGATAGAGGGTATAGGCCAATCTTTTGTTGCACCTTAGTGTACAAAATCATATATAAAGTGATTCCTATAAGAATGAGCAAGGTGTTGAGTAGAATTATTATAGGGTATAGTAGAAAAGGAGGGGTGCGTAGGTGTATGTTACAAATGGACATTCAAAAGGCTTACGATTTAGTTGATTAGAAATCCTTGCAAACTATTATGGTTGAAGTAGGTTTTCCTAGACAGTTCATTGTGTGGGTGATTGATGTTGAGTTTTTTTGTGTTAACAATTATGTTTATTCAAGTCTACTATGGAAAACTACGACGATTATGATTTCAACGAAGTTCGTTGTAATGATAGTGATACATCTGATGTTCAATCGAAGGATGCCCAGGAGGACAATTATTCAATATCTAGTGGGTATCAAAGTTCAGGTGATGGTGATGGCGATGATAATATTTACAATGATGATTTGGTTGAACTTGATGCAGTTGTAGGTGATAGAGTGGTGAATATTAATTCTATTACTCCTGATGAAATTCGTGCTATGGAATTTGGTGTTATTGATGAAGCCTATGAATTTTATTAACGGTATGGTAAATGTAAAGGTTTTTCCTTTAGGAAAAGTGATGTTATGACAAGAGGGTCTGAGGGTAGTAAAATAACAGTAATGAGGTTGTTTGTATGCAATAAGCATGGCTTAAGAGAGAAGAAACACTTACATAGGGTTGATAGGAAAAGAGATCACATATGTTTGATCCATACTAATTGTCCATCTAGGATTCATGTGCACTACAAAGATAACATGCATAGATATGTAGTGTTAGTTTTTGAAGAGGCTCATAACCATGAATTAACCCTGTTCCGGTTTGTACACTTACACCCCATTAATTGTGAAATTTTGGAAGCAGATAAAGTTTAGATTTGTGGTCTTCAGTCACATGGAATTAGAACTTATCATATAAAGGGGTACATGGTTGCTCATAAGGGTGGATATGCTGGTCTTGGGTTTACAAAGAAGGATCTGTATAATTATTTTGATAAAAAAAAATGTTTGCTACTATTAAAGACGGTGATGTTACAGATTCTTTTAATTATTTAAATGTAAAGCCATATGTTGATCCCATGTTATATGCTGAATATATTGTCAATAGTAACAGACAAATTGAGTCTCTTTCTTGGGCTGCTGGGAGCAATAGATTTGACTATTTTTGTTTTGGCGATGTGGTTCTGTTCGACATAACATACATGAAGAAAAAATACAACTACCCATTGGTACTATTTTCAGGGTGTAACCACCACTCTCACCCTGCTATTTTTGGTGTTGCATTGGTATCAGACAAAACGACAGAGACGTATAAGTGGTTGTTGAAGTGTTTTTTTAGAGTACATGGAAGGTAAATACCCAGAAGCAGTTATAATAGATGGAGACAGGGCTATGAGGGAAACTATAAAATAGGTGTTTTTGGATGCGACCCATCAATTATATGCTTATCATTTGAATAAGAAGGCAAGTGAAAATGTAAAGAAGTATACATTTTTTTGAAGGTTTTAAAAAAAATCCATGTACTCAAAATTTTACAAAGGATCAATTTAAAGAGGTTTGGCTAGAGCTAATTAAAGAAAGAAAACTTGAAGGAGATCATTGAGGTTGAAAAAACATATGAGAACAAGTCGCTATGGGAAACTGCATATCTATGTGATAAGTTTTTTGGACGTCTAAGAACTACGTCTCAATGTGAAGCTGTTAATGCAATAATCAAGAGTTATATCAGGAAGAAAGGTTGCAACTTTGAATTTATGCACAATTTTGAGAAGGCTTTGAGTGTGTATCGTAAAAATGAATTGTTTTTCGATTTTAAATCAATGTTTTAAGAACCTATGTTGACAACTCACATGTGTTTTATTGAGAGCGATGCGCTATAATTTATACATCGGAGATTTTCAAAGAAGTTAAAGATGAAATTATGAAGGCCGGTGCAATGATTGTTAAGAGAAATTATGAAGGTTGTGGGAATACAAATATTTATTCATTGACAAAATATTTTTGGGACAACTATGAAAGAGAAATTGTTTATGTTGGTACAACATTTCATTGTTCGTGTAGGTTATTTGATTCTCGTGGGATTCCATGTTCTCATATGTTTTATGTCATGAAGGAAGACACATGTTGATCATATTCCTACCATATCGGTTTTGTCGCAATGGACCATGGATGCAAAAATTGAATATTTGAACATGAATTGTAATTGTTCAATTGATTTGAATTTGATTGTGAAAACTCGGTTTGGTGCATATTGTTATGGTTTTACTACTTTTTGCAAACAAACTTCAAAAAAGAATGGTGTTTATGGGGAAATAATGGATGCCATTCTAAATTTACATAAAAAGTATTGAAGTAATTATTGTGTTTCGATCTGCTACAATAATTAATGAATGGTGATGGTACTTAATTTAGTATTTTAGTTGATGTAATTTGAGTATGAATGAAAAGTGTTGTGTTGAAGGTGCTTTTTAGTGGTATCACACGGGTAAGTTTTGAATACATCTATCTCAATATGTTTTTTGTATCATAACATACCATATTGGTCTTGAAATAGGAGTCAAATCAAAATAGATACAATTTATTATAATTCAACAATCAATCACCAAATTATGTGCCCACTGTAATGGTTATATTATATCATGCATTAATATTTTTCCAATTAGAGTAAATGTCGTTGTATGCTTATTAAGTTAGGTGTGTCTAAAATTTTCATTTTTTTTTCAAATATATAGTACCAGCAAGAGAAGAATAACAACATAAGAAAAAAACATGTTTTCAAGTAAATTGTAAGGTGTCCTTCCTCTTGAGAAATGTTTGGTGGTGCATTTGGTTCAGTGACCTCAAGTGATATGTAATTCTGTTTATTAGTTGCTTACTATGTGTTTACATATTTCAGCTTCAATTATTATCGTTTCATGTTTTGTTTTGTTTTGTAAATCTTATAGTTACAATTTTTTATTTTTGCAGGATCGATGAACAATGTGTTGGGTTTTTAGGTAATTGCGATGACACTGAGGTTCAAAAAAATGTCAATTTCATTGACCATGATAGTGATAAAGTTGAAGAAGAAATGGCTATTGATAAAGGTGAAGAAGAGATGGATAGTGATGAAGGTGAAAAAGAGACGGATGAACCTTGGTTGATGTAAATGGAATTTCATTCCAATATCGTGTCACTGGTGCTGCTGTAAGAGGAAGGAATGTTTTTGTAAGAATTATGAACCTGTTATATTAAATGACATAGTAGTAACTAGATATGAAGATATGATATTGTTATTGTACTTGAAACATAAATAAAATGCAGCATTTTCCAGCTAATGTTGTTGAAGACAGGTTATTGCCAAACCAAATAGACATAAATGTTGTTGATCTTTATACAAATGTTATTTACCCATGTGTTTTGAAGAGTGGTAGGAATCCAATTGAGATATATCTTTGTTTAGGTTGGTATGAGTATGTTAAAGCAACTCGTCTGAGGGCTGGTGATGTTCTTGTGTGCACTGTGATAGGTCCTCCTACAACAATGTTTGTTCGTTTTTTGATTTAATCCGTTTAATTTTCTGTTTAGAACGAGTAGGATTATGGTATGTAATGTCAGGGACAAATGCAAGTATTAGCATTTTGGGGCACTTTCCCCCCACTTAGTTATGTGTATGCTTTCTAATTGTTAAATATTTTTTTTTCTTATTAAAACATAAGTACTAACCCTATAGCTTACAAAATTACTATACCAAAAATTTTATTATTTAAAATAAAATCATATATATTTTGTTTGATTTGATTCGCATACATGTTTATAGCTTTATAAAAATTAATTTATAAAGAAAAAATTAGAAATAACATTAATCATTACATTATATAGCCAAGTGGGAATAGACATGTATATAAGCCTGCAGGCCCAATTAATAAATTTGAGCAATATGGTACCCTTTAAAGATAAATTCACAATAGAATTCATATGCAAAATGTATTGATGAATTTGAACAATATGGTACCCCTTAAGACAGTTTCATAACTCATTCTAATTTTTTTTCTGTTAAACCTCAAATCATTAACATTATAAATGTAACTTATTAAATAAAACTAACCAGAAACGAAATACATAAGACAACTTCTACGTTAAAATTTCCAATTTTAGTATCACGGTACATAAATATCAATAGCATTAACGTAATAATTAGAATTTGGTTCAGACATTTCAAAATTACAGAAATTTTTTTATATATAAAACAAAAAATAGACCATCCACACCATGTTAAAACTCCATCCCATCATCTTTATAGACTTCAACTCCCATGATATTCACGTCCAGGAATTCCAATGCAATCTTACATACACGTAGGAAGAAAAATGCAACACACTCTAGAACAAAGTATCACCATCACATAAGTTTTTGCTGTTTGCAAATTCATACCATCCTAAAGCCATGTAATTTTCATGTGTGATTGGTTTGTTCTTCCTTTTTACAGCGTGAACCTGACATTTGAATATTTTTCGTTTCTTCAACATCAACGACTTTGATCTCATTATGATTTGTTCTAAGGCATGTTTTTGCTATTGTTCTTGGAAATTGTTGCATATATGTCAATTGTACAACACTAAAAGTTATAAACCCTTTGAAGTATAACACAATATGCCAAGTTCAAATATATGCTTACCATAACATTAGTTGCCCACGTTTTTGCATTTCCTATGTGGCTCTTCCAAGAAAATTGTTTAGCCCCCATGACCCATTCTCCAGTAACTTGATTTAAGACCTGTGAATTTGCTACAAATTTTTGTTTTCCTTTCTTATCCATGGATTTCACAACAGATTTCATCTTGCCAACTTTCTCCTTCATAATATTTTTCACAACTTCAATGTTAAATCTATTATCATATGTAGTATCAACAACTTCTTCCTTGATATAATGTATAACAATTTTTTCATTGTTTGTGGGTCGATTTACAACAGCAACAATGTTGGGAACTTGAGCCATATTTTCAGCTTTCATACAAATTCATTTTTAATCAACATATATAATCAAAATTAATAATCTCTACACATAGCATCTCTAATCAGCATGTATAATCTCTACAACTTCTTAAAGGTTTTACATTAATTACCAACATCTATAATCATATTATATAATCAACATCAATTGATAACAACTATAACCTCTACAAATTCAAATAAGTATTACTTAATTTAAGATGTAATCAACTGATTTATAGAGTAAAAAAATTGAAACTCTAAACTCGAAAGTTTAATTACAAATTGGGATACATATAATTGATCAAATGTTGTAAAACATATTCCTCTTTTCGGTAATCAACAATTGGTTATGCATACAGAATCAATATCAGTTGCATAAAAAAGCATTAGAGTAGAAGAACAAAATTAAAAAAAAATCGAGTTCACACATCATTCTTGACCCATTATCATCCCAAATTGAACCATAAACTCGAAAACGAGATTACAAATTTGGAAATCGTAGAAATCATATTGTGTTAAAACATACTAGTGCTTTCACAAATTATAACGAGTAGAAAATAGAGCAATAG